TACACCTAAGGTGGCGGGTTCAAATCCAGCCCGGCCGCGCCAAACAACGATGGCTGCAACCAAAAAATAGCCGGGCATTGTGGCGGGCGCCTGTGGTCCCAGCTACTTGGGAGGCTGAGGTAGGAGATTTGCTTGAGCCCAGGAGTTGGAGGTTGCTGTGAGCTGTGATAGCTTGAGGCTCTGTCTCAAAAAAGAAAAAAAAAACAATACTTAGTGCAGAGGGTTCAGAACTGAGTAAGATATTACATGTAAAACCCTTAGAGCTTGGCATATGGTCAGTGTTTAGGAAGTTACAGCTCCATCAAAGATGCGAGACCATCTATAGGTTCCTTTTTTGCAGTTTTTCAGAGTAGACCAACTTCCCCTCCATGCAGCTCAGCCTGTGCTGCTGGGCCTCTCTGGTTTTCCATTCCTACATGTTCAATTTGGTCCCCAAACTATTCATCAGAGAACTGCATCCTCCATGACAATAGGCCGTGGATCTGAGCAAGGGGGTTCCAACCCTGGGCTGGGCCTGCCTTTGGGGTTAGAAAAAGAAGCTGGGATTTCCAAGAGAGTCTGAGGACAGGATCGTTTAACCCCAATCCAGACGAGGACCGCTTTCTGGGAAGACTCTTCTCACAGACATCCTTGGTGAGGATGTAGCCTCCTCCTGCCAGATGGGCTCGTGGGCTCATGGGCTCTTCCCTGAGACATTAGCCTCATGACATTATCCTCATGATCCCCGAGCCTTCCCGGGAAACTAACCATTCTGATCCCCTCAAGTCTCCTGAAAGACGTCCTGCTATTCTCCTATCTCTTAATTACTTGCTCAGCCCAAAGAGTCTGGATGCCAGTGGGCATGTTACCTACGTGTCTCAGCTACTTGTAACCTGTTAACCTTTGCACAGGCCAAAAGACAAGCACAGGCCGGTTATAGCTCTGTCCCTGCCCCCAGCATTTTCTTCCCCTTTATTTCCTTCCCAGTATCTGGGAAGCCCCCTTTTCCCCAGTGGACAGCCTTTCCTTTCTGGGCTGACTGTCGCCGTGTCCCCGAATCTGTCGTCATGTGTACATTCTGCCGAGGATGCTCACATCCAGCTTTGTTCCCATGAGGCATCTCTGCCTGGGACCACGGGGGGGGGGGGGAGAGGAGCCTTCCTTACATCTCTCACAGCCCTCCCCAATAGCAGCCTCAAAAACTGTATTCACTTCTTTCCCACATGTGTAGAGACCTCATGAAGACCTCTTTTTGTCCCATGGCTTGCTGGGGAGGATTCTCTGTTGACACTGGCTTTGCTGTAGTAAGAACACAAAGAAGCCTCAGAGGGGCTTGGCCTGGGAGAACTTGGCTCTTGGAGTCATCAGGGAGAACTTTGCAAGGGCAGCTGTGGAGGACAGAGTGCTCTTGGGGCCAGCGAGTGAGGAGTTACCTCATACACTCATGTGGAGAATGGGGAAGGTGAGGGTCTCCAGCTCCTCTGCCCAAGAACTGCCTGGGATGCCCCCCAAGTGTCCCTATCCTCCTCCCTGTCAGCACTTGCCTGGGGCTACCCATCCCTCAGTGTCAGCCTCAGAGAAGAGCCTGGGGGATCAGGCCAGGCTGCTGCACCCAAGCACAGATTACCTACAGAAACCACGCTGGGAATGGAAGTTCCTTGAGGAAGGGGAGGTTGGCCATCCAGCCTAAGGCATAACCACTGCTATTCCCGCACTAGTGCTAGATTTTCCCTTGTGTTGAGAGGCCACCTCCTCAAGGGGTGCTTATGTGTCTCTGTGTGTGCAAACTAGAGGCTTTAAACCCAAACCTCAGGTTTATGCAAAAGCCAATCCTTTACCACCAGAGACAGAGAAGGGCTGTTGTCTCTTGTCCTCCCAGTGGACTTTATCTGAAGGTGATGATGGTACTTCAGAAACAGTAGCCCGTCCCTCTCTGGACACTGTTAAAATGAAAAGGAGGCTTTGGTGGCATGTTCAGTCTTTGTCTTCCCTGAAGACACCCAGCCCTTCCAGATAAGGGGAAAGTTTTGGCCCTGGGGTGGAAGTCTCCAGAGCATTACTTGGGCCTGCCTGCTTCAGCTCAGACAAAGCACAAGCCTTTGGGGGGTGGGGGCAAGGCCAAAGCTCTGAGTTTATTTTGTTTTTGTCAGTAACATGTTTATCCTGATGTCACATCATCCCAACCTCACCTGCTTCACATTCCCTTTTCTAATTAAAAAAAAAAAATGAGGATACTTAAAGAGTCTATGAGAGGTGTAGTCTTAGAACCAAGCTTTCTTAGATATGGGAGAAAGTTCTATTGCTATGTGAAGATTCACTAGAACTCTGGGTCCCTCCCCTAGAGACTTCTCTCTCTCTCTCTCTCTCTCTCTCTCTCTCTCTCACACACACACACACACACACACACACACACACACAGTTCTGCAGTTGCTGGCACCAATTGGGAAAATTTTTAGAAAATTTGTGGTGGTTATATAAGATGAAATTTAGTTAACCACCAAAGGAAAACGTAGGAACCTCCTAAATGAGGCAGATAGAGAGTAGTACTTTTCTTATTATGAGGGTTGGCCTGAGCGGCAGGTTGGAAGGCCTCCAGTAGCTGCCTGCCAGATTTAAAAAACACAACAACTTAGGAAAGGCAAGACTCGAGACTGAGACTCGTTTAACTGGTTCGCCCAGTGCTCACGAGAAATTTGAAGACCAAAGACCAATGCCTCATGCTCCAAGGGCAAGACCCTGGTGGGGGAGGCTTGTGAATGCACTGAGCCCCTACTGGAGGGGCAGGATGCTAGACTCCAGAGCACCGAATACTCAGCGTTTGTCCTGAAGAGTGCCTTCCTGAGCAGCTCTGAACCTGCACAGAGGAGAGGTGTTGGAGCCCACTCTTGTGGGTAAAAGAGGCCAGCTTTTCACTCTATCCTTTTCCTGCATCTCTCTTTGTGGCTGTGAGATTGCGGGACCTTTCTCTGAAGAATACATGCTCAAATCTTTACCATCAAATTGCTTGGCAAAGCAAAATTGTTAGCAAAACAACCCTTGAGATGGGGACCTGACTTTGCCCTGAACAGAAGAGCATCAACGTCCTGTGAGCTCCAACAGATGACCAGCTGTCTGCTGAAAGCTTAGGAAACACTGATTCCAAGACCAGCCAGGGGTCCTCAGCCAGGGGGGATTCTGGGACAGGCCCGTTTCCCAGCAGTCAGCACTGCAGCCAGGACTTCTCCCTCAGGTCTACTCTGGGGCCTGTGCACAGCTTCACTGTCCCAATCTTCAGGGTTTTTGAAATGCTGAGTGTCACACAAGCTTTCTTTAAAGACGAGGGAAACTAGCTCCTTGTGGATCCCCTGAGCCTGTATGAACAGGTGCTTATTTGTCTGGTCTTCTGCTCTCAGAGACTCTGGAACCAGCATGGAAGATTCCTGCCCTTTCTGTGCCTGGGAAGGCCAAGTCCTGGCCAGTAGTTTGCCCAGCCCCATGTGGGGCCCTACCCAGGGCTAGCGTCAGGCTGTAGAGGTGTC